TCAGTATCTTGTGTGGTTTCTCGCGTACCATATATCCTGTGCCTATACTGTGTATGGTATCATCCTTATAAACGTTAGTATATGAATTGTGGACGCACTCCAATAGACCCTTCTAACTGGTAGCAGCGGAGACGATCCACACCGCGATTCGTTCTCCCGACTTCATTTTGCTTCTCATTTTCCTTGACTTTCTCGAGTTGCCAGACGTGTTCCTTTGGTTTTCCGGCAGTTTCCTTTTTTTTCCTTCTCCCCGTGGAGTGTTACCTCTCTTAGCTACGTAGAGCACTTTGCTCACATGAGCTTTGTCCTGATCCCTTCTCTCTTACTCTGTCATCGAATACTTCACGGCTAGACAGATTCTACTCCACATTAGCAGTGGGTGCTCCACCCACCTTTTATTATACCTTTCAGCTTTTTTAGCTCCCAGCAGCCGATACGGGACGCAGTCATATAGGCGTGAATTCTACGATTACACCGCGCGGGTACGCGTGTGTGTCCGTCTCTCCCGGCCCCCATCAGGAACAGACTCGGTTTTTGATCTTCTAGCAGCCTCCAACCTATTTTCTGGTATCGGTCCCGCATCACCATTCTCGGCGAACGTCATTCTGGACTCCGTCTACAGCGGCAGACCTCGAGACCACAACCCTCCACCACTGCCGCCTCCTACGAATATAAGCATCATGCTCGGTTCTAGTCGCCTTCAACTCCGTCCGACCAGGCTAGAGCAGTAGAAATGAGCACAGGCACACACCCAATCTCCGCCATACAGGCCACGTACGGAACCGGCAAAACTGTTAGTGGAGCGTTCATAGCCGCACGCCTTTCCGTACCTTTAGAGTTGGTCATTGCTACAGCAACAACGAACTTGGCAAATGCCCAATTCACTTTCCGATTCTTCTCTTCGTTGCAGATTCCGCAGAAGAAGGGGCACCGCGAACACTTGTGGATCTACATACAATACTACAGAGTTTGCTCGATGGGTATTCCGACCGTCTCCACCCTCAGGAGATCAGGAGAATGACTTTATACACGCGGAAGACGCCTTCTCGAACAATTACTGTTCCACCCTTAATAACTATCACGCCTTACTGAAGAGGAACGGGAGGAGTGCCGCATCGCCGAAGTGTGTAACTCAGAAGCAACGGAACGGGCAATCGCGATATTATTACGATTCCAGTTTCCAGCCGTCCTTTGTACCACAACTTCGTCGCTACTGACTTCACAAGGGAAGGAGGCCTCTTTCACGAACTCCTATCTTCCTGCCGAACAATCGTTGCGGACGAAGCTTCCCAGATCCCCGAACCCGTATTCGTCGATGGTAACCCGCTTCCCACAAGCTCGTCACATATATATAGGGGACGTACACCAACTACAACCCCACTTGCGATGCCCACGGTCGGCCTTAGCAGCACGCCTCGGAGGACGCGGAGTGATGTCTCTACTACTCAACAAGAATATTCCGCTTGCTCCGCTAGTCACTACTTTCCGCGCACACCCAGCCCTCGTACATCTATCTAACCCCCATGGTATACGACGAAACATTGGAAAGCGGAACTCCGGCACACGAGGCGCAACGACCTGATCCTACGACTATCCCTCCCGAACCCGCGAGTGCCATTCGTACTTGTGAATGAACGCGGAACATCTTACCGGTCGTACTCCTCGTCACTATAACGAGTACGAAGACCAATGCTGCCGAGACATAATTCGTGGCCTACTATCACGCGGGAGTTATCACTTTTTATAAGGAGCAGCAACATCGTCTCTAGGACTACGCCGACAGGCTGGGAGTGGCACTTTATACCGTCGACACCGTCCAAGACCGCTAGATGGACGTGGCCATTATATTGACCACACGCACCGACGTTGACGGGACCTCCGGCAACTTCCTTAATGACATCCAACGGATGAACGCCGTCCCCACTCGTTGCAAATATGGGCAGTTCGTGCTAGGGTATCTCAACGCGTTGCACACCTTGTCTAACTGGAGCCAGCTAGCTCGTCAAGTGGGCCGCACAACGCAACACCATTGTCGAAACAGCGGACCTGCCTGATATCTCCACGTGAAGAGCACAATAGTCGACGTCGACATCTTCATCAAAATCTACTTTTTCCACTGGTGAGTACCGCAATTCCTTCTTTTTTTGCCCTTTCATTACCATTTTTTAATGTCCGTGGACGGACGTTTTGCGAAAGGGGGGAGGTGTAAGAGTAAAGTAAATAACAACATAAGCCGTAGAATGGTCAATCAATCATATCAGTTTCAGATCTCGACGACGTGCCAAGCTGATCGGAGGCGGCGCCGAGGCCGTACGAAGGAACTGTGAGATGGTTCTGCATGACCTCGGGGCCTGGTCGCTTCGGATGCGAGCCGAGCTCGCGTATGTCTTCGCTACTCAGTATCTTGTGTAGTTTCTCGCGTACCATATATTCTGTGCCTATACTGTGTATGGTATAATCATAATAAACGTTAGTATATGAAATGTGGACGTACTTCAATAAACCCTTCCAACTATAGCTAGACTTCTATGTGATGATTAAAATCGGTATATGAACAAGTCATAACAGTATCGTAAATTATACGGCCAAAGCACAACATCAACTCTTCCATTCCTTAGATCTTTCCTTGCTTGAACCTTTTCGATTCTTCTTTGTTTCTTGAGAGTCTATTTTGTTTTTGTTCCTGCACCACTTTTCTGTCGTTTTCCCCTCTTTATCTTTCACTGGCGCTCGGAAAGTGCTGAGTGAGCTAAAACATCATTCAAAGAGAACAAGGAGGTAATATCTGGATAAAGTGTCTGTGGTTGGGAGACCTCGAAGCAATTACTACGACAGCATGCTTAACCCCTCGCTCGGCATTTTCTGAAACATTTGGTGTAGTTAAGCTTTCATTATTTGATGACCTATGTCTAGACGACTTCCATGGAAATATTTGAAAACTGGATGCTCTCACATGGCGCTGCCAAGTCCTTGGTTCATCTATCAGCTGTAAATGCACACTTGCTTGAATAGCATTGGAGGCTCTTAATTCATCGAAAACACATGCTCCGAGCTCCCTTTCCCATTTTTCCAGTCTTCCCGAACCAGCTTACATCAGTTGGCTCATGCTCCCCGTTTACCCAAGGTGCTTCCATAGTAACCCGGGCAACGCGCGCCTCATCGAATGGTCAGGCCCGCTCGACTGACCTTACCGCTTAGCCGGTAGTGTTGGCATATGCTTTTTCTCTTCCTGTGATTAATGTGGCATGTGATCCTAGATATTTGTTACGAGTGCGTATATTTGTAATGTATTACAATGCAGTGGTTAGTCCATAAAACAGTTATCCACTATTTGACGCTAAGCTTTCAGTGTGGTTGAAAACACTTTAACACATCTTGAAATTATCGGCGAATACAGAAATTATACATAAGATTTGTAGCTATTTACATAAGCGTATTTCCTAATGATTTCTTCATGCTCCAAGTTTTATGACAATTATTTTCGTGAAAGGTTCTCGTCATCATCGTTTCTAAACCCACTTTTTTTTTCTAAACCAACGAGCGCAGCATGAACTCTCGTTTTATTTGTACTAGGTGCAAACAAGTATCCGTCAATCACAGCTAACGTCGTAATGATATGTTTGCTTACTGTTTAATATACCACTCTTCCGTTGGTCGAGTAACTCTTCTCTTTCCGGGTACTGAATTGAAACAGAACAATCCTAAAAAAATCAAATTTC